CCTGTGGATGTCGGCAGAGAGAGGGGATGCAGGGGAGATAGATGGAGGTCTGCAGGGGAGGGGAGGGGGAGAGCTGGAGCCTCCAGAAAGTAGAGTCTGGTCATCCTAGAGACAGCGCTGACCCCCACAGGCCTGGAAGTGCATTTTAAGTGTATTTGAACCCGCACACTTGAACACAGCACAGCATGGCTGGAACCACAGTTGACAAGGAGTGGGTCCTTCCCACCACATCGCGAGCAGCACTCTAAGCCGAGGTGAGCTCCTGGCGTTGACTCCGGAGCACAGCTAGTGCCTTTCCTCTCCTGCCTGGGTGTACAACTGCGGAAGGGAAGGCCTCCTGCACACAGATTGATCCACTGGCTGTGATTTGTCATTTCTCCAAGGCAGGCGCTGTTTTCTCTTGCTTCAGGAGGCCCTTCGACACCTGCTTTATTTTTCTTCCTGCGCTGACGTGATGGGAGACAGGTGTTAAACTACTTAATCACTTTAAAATTGTTTTAATTTTCTGTTTTTTATTGATCTCTCTAGCACCAATTAATCAGCTCACTGGACCAGGCAGTTAGTACATTAAAAATTGTCAGAGCGGCCGTGCATCTTGCAAAATGTCTTAAAAAATATTCAGCTAGAAAATTTTGGTGTTTTTTTTTTTTCTTTTGTTGCATGCAACAGTCCTTGGCCTGTGAAAATCCCTCTCAGAAAGGGCCTCTGCCTCTGGAACTCCTGAGTCAGTTGTGTTCAGGGCAAGAGGGGCTCTGTCCAGGGGCTTCCTGTAGGGACAGCTGGGAACAGGCACCCTTCACACATTCACCGCCTTCTTTCCACATCTGTGTTGTCTCTAGGTCTCTGGGTCTTCTTTCTCCCAGGGCCTTGAGTTGTTTTTTGCAGAAGGGAGCACCTACTCTGATTCCAAGAAGGCAGGACTGATCCTCACTGTCAGCCAGATTTCCTCTGCCTGGGACATCGGCACTTCCATCTTGTGTTTCTGACTGTCAAACCCAACCTCCTCTGAGACAGGGGCCAGCTCAACTTGTAAAGTCTGTCTGTTGGCCAGCAGCTGTCACCCCAGTGATGAGCTGAAACCCTTGCATGGAATGTTCTGGGCAGCCAAACCCCATCGTCACCATCACCTGTCCTGGGCTGCAGACCCTGCCCCTTGTGGCATAAATAGATTAGTGATTTATTAATTGCTTGGCTGTACTTTTGGAATTAAATAAAGCACAGATAGAATAACCAGGGTCTTCAGTCAGTTCTTTTGTTAATTAGTTTCTTTGGGGTTTTTCCCACTTTCATCCTGTTTTTGATCACTTTCCAAGGGCAAATCCCTTATTTTTTCTAGGGGCACATTAACAACAGTTAACATGCCTGGCTGTCCTTGTACCTGGCTCTCTGCTCCTCCTGCTCTTCCCAGTGGGTACCATACCCCCGCAGCATCTTTTGCCCACTTGCCCTTCTTCCTGCAACCTAGTTTCCAAGGTGAACACTGGGAGCAATTTCATCCCCGCCCTAAGCCTCACCATCAAGCAGGGGCTCCCAGAGACCCAGCTCCTCCTGGGAAGGGGGCATGAGCCCCCACTGTGAGAAAGCTTTGGGGTGCACTCCCACCCCAGGCCAGGCACAGGGATCCCTGCATTCTGGCTACCCAGACTTATCTTCCTCCAAGCCCCACCTGTACTGTATTAATCTGTATATGATTGGGCTGGAACATATAATCTAGTATCGATTTTCTCTCCGGACGCCACAGCTTTATTTGCTCACATCTGCCTTGTGTTTAATTGGTGCTTTGCTCTGGAAACGAACGATCTTATCAGCCTGTTTGGTTTCTTTTCCGGACACACAGGCACACACACACCCCAACACCCTCAAGCTGGCTGGCCCGGCCCTGCCTCTCCCTAACCCTCCTACCTCCAGGCATTCCTGGGGCG